ATTGTATCTTGATCAATTTTGAAGATTTTTCAAAATTGGAAAAAGTGACATTTAGAAAACATCTGTGCGCTTTCAAATTCAGAGGAAATTTGAAAATTGAGTTCAAATTGAATTTTAGGCAAATTCTTAAACTTGGCAAAACGGGAAGAAAAGCATATACGGGAATTCAAACTTTTCAGTTTAGCTCATCATAACTTATAGGATTTTGATGCAATTTTAAAATTTTTGGCAGGGTTACATGCGCACGAATGTTTTACGATTTTACATATTATTTCCAATTCTCGTTCGATTTTAAAGAATGTTTTTGAGTTTGTGATTGTATCTCAATCAATTTTGAAGATTTTTCAAAATTGGAAAAAGTGACATTTAGAAAACATCTGTGCGCTTTCAAATTCAGAAGAAATTTGAAAATTAAATTCAAATTGAATTTTAGGCAAATTCTTAAACTTGGCAAAACAGGAAGAAAAGCATATACGGGAATTCAAACTTTTCAGTTTAGCTCATCTTAACTTATAGGATTTTGATGCAATTTAAAAATTTTTGGCAGGGTTACATGCGCACGAATGTTCTACGATTTTACATATTTTTATGCCTGAAAAATGTTGAAAATTGAATAAGTGAAAATTCTAAATATAAAATCTTTTTTTCCCGATTTTCATCCGATTTTCAAAAATGTTTTGGCCTTTTTCATTGTATCTCCCGCAATTTTGAAGTTATTCAAGAATTTCAAAAAAAGAAACATAGGAAACTTCATTGCGCACGTCACACTTGAAAAAAGTTTGAAATTGTTTCAAAATTGAAAATTTTGAACATAAGAAAACGGGAGACGCAACCCTCCTGCAGGCCTCTCTGGGGCTGGGTGGGAGTGAGGATAGGGGGCAAAACGAAAGGGAGCGCCTGTGAAAATTAAAAAAATGTGCGAACTACACGAAAGACGCAGAGACTCAAGTAACTTTATTAGTAAAGATCTGGAACATTTCAAAAGGAAAATCATCAAGCTTATTAGGTTAAATTTGATCATCAGATTTATTCATTTGTGCAGCTTATTTTTGTATGACTCAGCAGACATGTGATGTGCATACACATATGGTATAGAGCAGTGTTCCCCAACCTGTGGTCTGCAGACTACTGCTGCTCTGCAAAAGTTTTTTGCCAATCTGCAGGAAATTTTCTGGTGCATAATGAATTACCAAAAGTGGTAATAAACTTGCATTTTCATGTGAAATGTTGGAAAGACTATGGTGGTTGAAATTATCTGATGAAAAATTATAAGTTAGCTTTTCTCCTAACAAAGCTTCAAACAAATTCTCACCTGTTGAAATAATTCATTCTATGTTTTTCATTCTTAGAAACCTTTGTTCAAGCCCATTTTCTTTTCTGTTTTCTGAAGACATTCCACTTCATAGTTGCTTTGTTGGTTCTTAATTTTGCAAGGAAGATGACACTTTTCAAATCCCTGTCATGAAGTCCTGCAAGCAAAAATTTTTTCGAGTCCTAAAACACTTTATGAAACTTTGTCAGTTATTAGCAGAGCATTTTTTTGAAATTTGCTGGTTTTCAAAAAAATTTATGGAAATTTTCTGGTCTGCAGACCCAAAAAGGTTGTGGGAACACTTGTATAGAGTCATTGCATTTTTTGATGTTGATAAATTTGTCACAAAAAGTATGTAATTACAGTCCAACCTCCATAAGTCGAACCTCCCTAAGTCGAAAACCCCCCTAAGTCGAATTTTTTTCCCAGTCCCCTTCCAATACCTTAGAAAATAATATTGAAAAAACCTCTCTAACTCGAATAAAGCTGGTTTTCAAAAAAATTTATGGAAATTTTCTGGTCTGCAGACCCAAAAAGGTTGTGGGAACACTTGTATAGAGTCATTGCATTTTTTGATGTTGATAAATTTGTCACAAAAAGTATGTAATTACAATCAGAATAACCTGAAATAGCATAAGAAATTACTTCAAGGATCTGTAATAATCGTCGCCTGCAAACTGTCAGAACTAGAGAAATTTGGTAGATTCAATCATTTATGATGTTTAACCTTTGAAGATGGGTTGATTTTTTCCCACAAGATGTCGCTCCAACTGCTCAAGGAGGTCCCATGTCTTTTCTTCAACAGCTGAACGCACGTGTCATTTTAAAATTTTGTGTTCAGCGTATGTTTGATCCGTTTGTTGCATTACTGCTTTGTGTGTCATGTATTTTTTCGTTATGTTTTAGGTTAACGAAATGTTTTGTTGACACGGACTGGCGTGTGGAGCTCAAGTCTAAAAAGAAAGAAACGACCGAGGACAAAGACGCAGAAGACACGAGTTCGAGGAGAGAAGCAGAAGATTTGGCCATCATAACCGTCCTGGGATTCTTCAATCGGCCCACATTTCTCTTTTTCGCCTTCCCGGCCCTCTTGGCGTTTGCGATCAAGGATCATCATTTGGGGCATTATTCCCTGTGGAATGTTACTGGTAGACTGGCCATGTTTGCCCCTGCTGCCCTGTCTGCCATGTTTATGGTCAGCGCCTTGGACACTCTTTTCTATAGGTGAGGACAGGACGAGAGTGGAGAAGGAGTAAAATGCGTCATTTAATGTCAAAAAATTTATGCTTTCAATCGGTTGCTTATTTGAATGAATTTTCTGGAAGCTGAATTTTATGGAGTGTCCTTGAGGTGCCAGCATAATTATTTCTTTTTGGACTGTGTCCATTTGGTTGAAGATCTGCTTTGTTGGATCACATTTTATCATGGACTTCAATGCATTAATTGTGGATAACTTCTTGGGTTTGGCAAAAAAAATGGAAATATTTCTTCAAAAAATTGTTGGAAAAACCCTGAAAGAAGAAGTGCAAGCTTTATAATGAGATTCTAAATTTGTATCCTTGGCAGTAGCTCACAATTTTCTTGATACTCCGTACAAATCCTAAAAATACTATGTCTTATTGTTTTGGAAATTTAAGAAAAGTGTCCATTTCTTGAGAAATTTCAAAGATGTTGGGCCATCTTTTGTGTGTTGAAATTCAAATTTCTACTTACTGCATGACAATTAGTGTAAACTTTCCAGTTATGGCCGGAGTTCTCCACCCATGTCATGGAGTGTTGAAATTTTCAGATTGACTAAAACATCAACGTTTTTGTTGTTTTAATCATTATCTTTTCTACATTTTAGATAATGGTTAAAAAGCAACGAAATTTAAATTTTTAATTGGCCTGACAAATGACACCGCTTTACTTTGAATTGCACATTGAATGCTAATACAGTCAGACCTCTTGAACTTAAATCCTCTCTGAAACAGAAAACATCTTGAGTTGAGATAGTGTCCTTTGTCTCAAGCATATTAATAGTCTAACCAGTCCATTCCTATTTTTCCTAACCTCCCCAATTCAGAACCTCTCTGAAATTTTTGATTGTTTCAATTTAAATTACTATACTATATTTAATCAAGTACCACACACTTTTTATTGAAGGAAAAAATGGGGTGTTTGTCTTATGTGGGTTTAACTTGAAGAAACAGTTTTAGCAGTTTGTGTTTCCATTAGTTTTATTCTAATGGAAATTTTTTGACAATTTCAAACAAAGAAATATATTGTGAAGGAAATTATTGAAAACTGGTTGAACTCAAGTTCAGTTGATGAACAAATTTAAATTTTGGTTCACTTTTTGAAATATTGCAGTTTTAGATCCACTAAAAATGTTATGGTTGTCTTAACTGATGTATACAATTTCATCAAGATTTTGAATGAAAAACCGTGGTGATTGTCTCACTTGAGGGTGTGTGGTACACTGGTACTTGGGTGAGTATGGCAGACTTGAAGAGATCTGACTGTGATTCATGGTGGTTGATGAGGTGACATCTACAAGAACATGTTTGAAATGTAATTCCATGCAATTTTTTGCTTCATTCACAGGGGCCAGGAAAGTTTGTCTAAGGGACCAGTGCTGACACCAATGAACTTCATCGCCTACAATCTGAATCCCAGAAACCTGGCCCTGCACGGGATCCACAAACCCTGGACGCATTTCGCTGTGAATTTGCCGCTTCTTTTCGGTATTCTACCATTTGTCGCGATGTACGTGATGGCGAGGAATTGGATACCGGCCATTTGGAAGGAGACAGCGTTGAAAGTGGAGAGACGAGTCGACTACGTCATGATGGCGTCTTTCCTATTCCCTGTTTTGATACTAACCTTGTTTAAGCATCAAGAGCCGAGGTTTCTGATACCCGTGTTGTTTCCGCTCGTTTACGTCGCTCATGACAAGTTTTTCAAGCCTGGGGTGTTGAGCAAAGTTCTTCTGGGGTCTTGGATTGTTTCCAATGTTCTGCTCACTTACTTCTATGGCGTCATGCATCAGGTGGGTCATGCAAACCCCCTTTTTTTTNCTCTTTGAGTTGAATTTAAAGGGACTAGGACTGTGTCAAAGCATTCAACTTAAGGAGGTTTCAAGTTAAGGAACCAAGCATTTATATTTGGGGGAAAGAAAAATAATTTACAGGAAATTTTAATTTGTGATATTCTGGGCCATGAATTGCTTCTTGAGTGAGTTGACAACTTGCTGAACTTGGAGTCAAGGGTTAATTTGCCCAATCGGTCTTTCACTTATTTTCAAAACAAATCAAGTTACATTTGTATGGCTTTTCTCTTTCCTGTATTGATGAAGGAATAGCCAAAAGGCCTCCAGAAAATTAAATTTGAGAGGGAAAGCCTATGAGTTGTGTTGGTTTTCACTGTATTGTTTCTAAGGGAATTCAGACAGGGACTTGGAAGTTTGTTTACATGGAGTAGAGGGGAGGGGTATTTGACTGATAAATGTTCAAGTTATTGAGGTTCAAATGTGATTTCATGTATAATATCTTGCCATGACGTATTTATGTTGAGAATGAAATCCTCTTTGGGACCATCCAGTGTAGCCAAAATGTTATTTGATGCTCAAAACAAAGGTTTCTTCAATGGGTTCCAAGGGGGGTTTTTTTAAGCAAAATTTTACTCCACTGAATTCTAATATTAAAAAAAATTGTTCTAAAGGCTGGAATACCACCTATGCTGATCTACGTTTCCCGCAACCTGCAAAGAACTGGACAAGGATTGCACTTGATCTCAACCTACAGTTACTCCATGCCGCAGTTTCTCTTGGCGAACCCTCGCGGCAGTGGGTTCCCTATCCACACCTACGACTTGGGCTCTACAGACTTGGACCAGGTGATAGAATTCGCTTGTGGATTCCACGACGCATTGCCTGCATTAGTCGCAATGCCAGGGAGTATGACTGAGCGACATCTTGTGTCTGGGAACGGAACCTGTGCCGATTCGGGTTTATGGAAAGTCGCGTCGAGTGTATCCAGGAAATATGGGGTTGTGGGTCATCCAGGTGTTCAATTTTGCCAACAAGCTAGTTTTAGCCCACATTTGACAACTGAGTTTTTGCCAGTTATTTCGAATGTCACTTTCGGTGAGGTTTTCAGAGCAGTTGAGCAATTGCGACTGGATTTGTTCTTGATCAAGTGTTCATGATGATTGGATGGAAATGGAAAGAGGGCATATTTGCATGAACCTTCCATTCTTTTGAACACTAATTGAGAATCAGGTGTACAGTGAGACCCCCACATGCAGACGATTCAACATAGGGATATTAATTTTGAATAACAAAGGCATGAAAAAGGTGCAAAATATGGACACCAACTCAACATGTGGACATTGCATGATAAAGTTGCCAATCAATTTCAGGAAAATTGACTTTTATTAGGCTTAAGTGTAAGAAGCAGATATTTCCAACCCTAAGATCTATGCAAAAGAATATCTAGTATTTCCCCCTTTCCAATCCATTCAGCTAATTAAAAAAATACCTATAGTGTAGGCTATAGAGAGACTTCCTTCTCTCTTTGTGACTTTATCATTATTTTCACAGATACCAACATTTCAATGCACTGTACAGAGGTACAACTACTGTATTCAATGCTCCAAATGTTCTTATTGAGTTGAAGATAAATTCACTGAATCAAATTCAATTAGCAACCAATTTTTTCATGGAATTCCGAAGAATATTTCTTCCATAAAACACCAACTAGAAATTATATAATGTAAGTGTGTGGGAAAATGAGTCTCAACTTAGGGGCACTCTTGATGCACCAATTACATCTCCATCTGGGGGTCTGAATGTATTATCAGTACATGAGCTGGGGAAACAGGGTTTTCTTGATGTCTCATCCACTTCAATTATTATATTTTATTAAGAAAGAAGTGCCAACTTTTACAAATCATTTTCAAGTTCAACAGCCAGCTGCAGTCAAACTTTTCCATCAATCAGAGATTCTTCTGAACTACCCCTTTTGTCATCCTTGGATTTATTTTGAATTTTAGCAACTTCATTCACTTGAGGACCACATGCCCTTCATTAATATGTGCACTAGGGTTTTTTAGTCAAACTTTCTAAAGAAATGTATCCCCAAGTAGGATGTGCACCTTACTTTTAGTGATTTAAAAATGCACTATTGTATTGTATATTCAAAATATGAACACCAAAATTTGAATTTGGACCTGGATTCAACAAAATTCAAGTTTCTTTAGAAGTAAGTCTAAAATTTCCCATTAAAATATAATTTAATGAACACCTCAACTTTGAAAAACTTAACTGACTCATGATTCCCCACTGATTTTCTCTCAATCTTGAGAAGAAAAGTGCATGTGTTACTTGAATAAATGTGATAATTTGCAGATATTGAACTGCAAATATCATCTTCAGTAATTGATGCATTGGTTTTTCATAAATTCAAATCACTGCATGATCTAGAAACTAGAGGAAGTTGTGAAGTGCCAAAGGGGTGCAAAAAAATCAGGTTGACTCCAACTCCCAGAGCACACTATTTTTAGAATCCTAAAATTTTAATGAAACCCTACTAACAACACACTGTTTCCATACAGTTCTAAACTTGATTAAAGAGAAAAACCCTCATTACGGCCAAAGAAACAATGTTCTATTTGCATTGTCAAACGTTTTCAATCACAATAGGATCATCCTCACTTTTCTTTCGCAGTTTTTCTTGATTGGCGTCATACATTTTTCGCAAATACGAAATGAGTGGAGCTATGTTTTCCGCATTCAGGGCGGAAATTGGGAATACTTGAAAGGGAACTTTTGATGTGAAGCTCTCCAACAGCGAATGTGCTCCAGGAAGATCGATTTTGTTGGCAGCCACAGCAAATGGTCTTTCCAAGAGGTTTGGATTATAATGCCTCAATTCTTCCCTACAGAAAAAGTTGAAACATCAGATTTGACGCACACCAACCAGACAATTTTTGAGGTTCTTAAATTTCCTTTCCTCTATTATTGTAAATGAAAAGTTCCAAATTTAATTCATTGCTATGCAGTGCATCATAAACATAGCCTAACATAATTTGTGAAGGTGAAGGAACATGTTGAATTCTTACATTCATCTTTCAATACAATTTATAATGGTGGCTGCCATCTTGGAAATTATACAGAAGGGACCACTGGAAGCATGAAAAATGTATTGGCAGACCAGATATTGCATAAAAAACTTGGGTAAAAATTACTCGAAGTAATTTTTAAACTTGAAATCCTTCTAATTAAATTCCCAAGCTTAGTCAAAAATGTAGAGCTTTTTCTTCTTCTAGCCCTATTAATTGATGAACTTCACAAATTTGAGAGATTTCAATTCTCACAATTACTTCAATCTTACACAACAATAAGAACCATTCCAAGAACTTGCTAGAATCCAGAAACAGATTATAAATTCTTTAATTAAAACTTCAGGAAAATCATGTTTCACTAAAAAAGCGTTCCCAAAATTTATTCAGAAACAACTCTCATTGATATGTTCTTACACTTTACAGAGATGTAATGGATGCATGACCTGCAGGTCTGGGATAACATGAAGCAAGCAAAGCATCCCCACACATTATTTTTACTGTATCCAACAACTCCGTTGTACAGTACTAGTATGCTGTATATACACAGGAACTCCATACAATGAGTTAACCATAGCACAAACATTTTGCAAAGAACAATTTTCCTGAGGAATTTTCCAGACCAAACATGGTCAAATTCGAAGTTGAAGTCATTTACAGAGGCATTGCCATCATTGTAAAATACAATAAAAAGGTGAAGAGTTTCCCTTTTCTAGCATTAAAAATCAGTGGATCACAGAAAGTTGAGACCAAGAAATCTGGGAATGTTTGTCAAGGCATAGAAAAATACTTGGGTTTTTCAGGTTAATCATGCATTTTTGTGTGTATCGAGCATATTGCAATAAATCACTTTTTAAACAATTCAGAATTTGAGGGAAATCATGTTTCTCACAACAAATCTCATACATCCTGCAATCAATTACTGTACTGTACAGTAAATTTAAAATGCGGGGACACACTGTATTCTTCTCTCTCTCTCTCTCCATATTTGTTGGCAATTAATCATTTCTTTATTTTTGACCGTAAAACTAACCAACACACGGAAAACCCACCAAATATGAAACCCCCCTGCAATGTCACCATCAGAGATGTTCAAGTCAAAATAAGTAAAATTGGAAATTTTCCTGATTTTTCGACTCACTGCAACGTTTCCAGCTGCTCCTGCGGGGTTCCAAGATTCGTGACACCCAGGTTCAAGTCCAGCACATACAACATGCAAGCACACCTTTCCACATGACGCAGGAACCCGTGTCCCAAGCCTCGGTTCTTGTGGGCTTCCTCAATGAGTCCAGGAATATCCGCCACACGCAATTGCACGTAGTCTTCAAACTGTATCACTCCAATATGCGGCCTCAACGTCGTAAACGGGTAACCGGCGACCTTTTTTATTCACAAAACCAAAAACATCTGGTATCACAATCCACTTACACGCAAGATAACTGCCCTTATTCATTTTTTTCTGGACAGTGATAAACAGATGTCGCACCATCAGAAAAACCTAAATTCTGCAGGTCCTTGATAAAATAAAAATGTATGTTCAAGTTTCACCATTTAAAGTATGATTTTGATCATGGTTCTAATTGAGAAACATTGCATTCATTTTGGATAACTACAAAAAAATTATCTGAGATTTCTCATGATTTTACAGTGGACCCTTGGTTAGCAAACTGCTTGGTTAACACACAGGTATAATTCCCAAATTTGAGGATTCAAAATTTGATTTTGAGGTTGAAGTTTATGGTACAGTACTGTACAATCTAAGTTCAAATAATTCACCTATTCACTGATTTGAAATTTTTTTCCTCCTGCAGCACTTGTGCAATTTTTGTAATTTTGATATTTGTTTCAGCTCCATTTTTTATGACAAAATTATTTGTTTTTCTGAGCTTGGGCTTTCTAGCTTCCATTGTTAAGAAGGTATATTTCATGTTACTTGCAAGATGAATGAAAAAATGGAAATTTCCACTTGACATGCATGCTTCAGCATTTGTTTCCCTCAATGTGAAGCTTTTCATATCTTTGTTTTCATCAGTGCTACTTCCATATAACACTATAAAAAGATTTTTGGCACATACACGCTGCTGCAACCACTCATACTGATTATAGTTGATGGTCTTGAATTTTTGATATTCAATGTTCAATTGTATTTTGGGTTCACAGAATGGATGGAACTCTTCCCCATTGCAAGTCTATGGGGAAATCAAATTTGGTTAACCAAGGGCCCACTATGTAAAAATGAACAAAAGGGGTAAGACCTTCACCAAGATGAGAAAAATAGAATAAAAGAATAAATAGGTTCCGAACACGAATGACAGATGGCGCACCTTCGGCCTGGCCCTTGACAGGGCCCTCAGCAACGTGGACTTCCCCGCGTTCGGGAACC